CAGCCCCAAACACTTACCTATACTTCTTGTCCACTGCCACCAGCTCCCAGATGATCCGCATGTGTCCCTGGATTTCTAGGTTTAGTGAAGGAATCCTGAGGCCACTGAGAGCAGGGCAGCGATAGGCTTTATTAAAGGGTAAAAAACTAATAATAAATATGGATTTCCATAAGTTCTATTCCACTGCCTTCTGAACTACAAATTAATGTCTGAACAATGCAACATTTTCATTGCTTGCTGGAAGCAATGCCTGATGAGCTATGTAGTCTTGAGAAATTGAGATGACATCACATCAAGCAGCAGGGAAAGAGTACGAAGCACACTGGGAATCCAGGAAGTTGGTAAAAGTGATGGGCAGACAGAAGGCAGAACTCACCACATAAAAGGGATTTTTTCAAGTAAGCTTTGATTTCATTATCAAAAACAACTCTAGCATGTGTTCATATTAAAGAAATTGTAAAGTCCCAACATAGACTATCCTCTTATAAACGCTGGGCATCCTGGCTGGTGAAGGAAGAAGCTAGGAGATAATTGATTTGGCTGCTTTCTGCAGGCTGGTGTAATCTTCCTTATTTTGATGTTATTGCTGCGTGACCTGTCTTCTAGGTCCGCCACCTTTGTTTGCAGCCAGGTTATGTCATTTTCCCTTTCGGTTTGGGCATCCACCAATTCGTTGAAAGTGTCAGCAAAGTCCCTCATTTTATCCTCCATATGAGTGACCCTATCTCCCACCTCATGTAGGTCAGATTTGAACTGTTGCACTAGAGCTTGCATATCTGTGTTAAGCGAACTCCTCAGGCACACCAGCATATCTTTAAGGGTGGTATCTGATTGGGGCTGGTTGGCTGTAGGGTAATTTTCAATAGGCGCAAATAGTTCCCTTGTGTCATCCAAAGTGCGGTCAGAAGGGCTCACCTCCTCCACTAGGCCCGAAAGCCGGGGCCTCGCTTTTGCAGGGCTCCGCATGGAAGAGGAGGCAGACGTCCGCTGTTGCACCGAAGAGGAGCGTCTCTGGATGCTCTCTTTCCCACCGCCCTGTGAAGAGCGCGAGGACCACGCCGAGCCCTGAGAGGGAGACATGGAGGGAGGTGCAGCGCTGCCACCGCCATCTTGCGCGGCCCGAGGTTGAGACTGATGGAAGAAGTCCATCACATTGCAGGATCTGGAGCCGTTCCTGCGTCTGCGGGACATGACCGGGGGTGAGTCTAAGTACCAGCTGCTGGTGTGAGGACCGGTGATGTGCCTGCTCGTCGCTGTAACTTTAGCCCGGGTCTGTGGATGGACGGAGCTCCGGGTCTAAGCTGCCATCTTGCACGCCAGTTGGCCACGCCCCTGGTGTGATCTTCCTAACAGGCTACAGTAGAACACTATCCCTTCCCTAGAGAAGACTCCAGAGCACAGAACAGTTATCCTGCTGACATCATAAACACCAATTCAAAAATGTCACATTTCAATCTTATTTCTCAGATCATTCACGTTTATGGAGATTTCCCCTCTCTATTTTTCCTGGTGTCTATTATCATCAGAATTTAGAGTTGTCACCGGAACAGAAGGTTTATTTTACAATGGGGACATTTATTCCTGTGACAACTGTACCAGAGGGGGATTTCTTCTCACTTCCTGCTGTTTCTACAGAACAGGAAGTCGAGGGAAATCTCTATACACAGATAGAAAAAAAAAAATCTGACAGGAGTTTTAACCATTCCCTACTCTATCCAAAATTAAAAATAAAGTAAGGTATATGAAGTAGTTTTATTAGAGAAGTCATACTTTGGGTTTTACATTCCATATTTTATGGTATTTAAGTTGACAATCACAGATCTTATTAACGTTCTATAACACACGGCTATAGCGTGTTGTGCAGGTTTATACAGTCTATTACTCTGCTCCTATCCACAGCCGTGTTTAATGAGTGATTCCGGTACATTCCACAAGTACCTAGGTGTTCAGAAAACGTCTGAGACACAGGGTAGTGATAACATGGAGCCATCTCATAGGTAGGACGCAGGGCACCATATTCACCAGAGGTCGTTCTGAATAGGATGCTCACTGGTTTGGCCTGGAACAAATTGCTGGGAGACGTCTTTGGATTTGATGTACAGGAGAATACAGGATTACCAAGACTTGCACAAGTTGCCTTGCTCTGCTCTTTATCACTTGGTGAAGCTGGGGTTTGGCCCTCAAGGGAAGACATGTTTTTTTTTATCTGTAAAATACAACGAATAAGTAGCTGATCAATCATTTCATTCAATATTAGGGTGGCCATGCTACACCTTGTGAATAAATACTTGCAGGGTTATTCACTAAAGGGTGAAGAGTTTGGAGAAGGCAGGACAATCTAGGACAACATAGCTGAACTCGAAAAATCTTCCAATTCGGCTCACTTTCCAGTTCAGCTATGTTGTCCTAGATCAGGGCATCTTAAACTGTGGGTCGCGACAGGCGGGGCACGCACAGTACTTGTGTGAGGAGCCCGGGCTCCAAGCAAGATTTTCTTATTATAGTTTAATATATGCAGTGTAATTATTGAGGTCCCGGGCCCCCCTGTGCACTTGGTACCTTCCTGACCACATGTGTGCAGGAAGGTTTTTTTTTTCCTTTTCAGACGGCGTAGCTTTCTGTAACATGCCAGAAGCGGAGCACAGCTGCTGGAGGGTAAAAGTAAGTTTTATCCAGCACACAACCTGGAGGGGGGTTAAGAGTGAGTTGGGGAGGTGAGATACACACCGAACTACGGGGGGGGAGGGATGATGGGCGGTTAGGTAAGATCTTCCTGAGGGCTTCTTCACATCGTCTCCAAACCAGAATGTTTTCTGTCTGGTCCACAAACACATCCCTGTAGATTTCAATGTTTTTTCTGAGTGTAGTTCACACCACTGGGATTTGTCCTGAGCTTAAAGCACAGTTTTTTTTGCCTCGGTCACAAAAGGAGCTGGCTACTGCTATGCTCCCGCGGTGCTCGTGCGGCTGAATGTGTCAGGCGCTGCAGACAGAAAGGGGCAGGACACCTCTCCCCCATGTGCAACGTTGACCACATTCGGCCACACGAGCACCGCGGGAGGACAGAATGCTGGGGCCTCTAGGACGCACTGGAATGCAAGTCGGTCGACTCCCTGCGTTCAGGGGCGGGAGGGGGTGTGGAGTTGTATTGAAGTCAATGGCGCTGCAGCCATGCCCCCCGCCCACAGTGCGATCGCCTGCATTCCGGTCCAGTGCAATCTGCAAAAATAGTGCTTGCAGCATTTTTGCGGATCGCACTGGACCAGAACGCAGGCACTAATGTGCCTGGGTTCCAGGTGCAGGCGATCGCACTGTGGTTGAGGGGCCTGACTGCTGTGCCATTGACTTCAATGCACCACCACGCCCCCTCCCGCCCCTGAATGCAGGAGTTTTTTCGTTGGTAGATCTCATTGAGCTCGTCATTTGAAAAGTAGATCTCCAGACGAAAAATTGTGGGCACCCCAGTCCTAGATTGTTCCCTTCTCCAAACTCTTCACCCTTTTGTGAATAACCCTGTTAGTTATCACACTCACACTTAGCATGTTTAAATACCTACCTGTAGTACTTCTCTCAGGGAACCTTCTGTGCCTGGTCTACCTAACGTCGCTCAGCTTTTCTTACACCATCTTCCCAGCTGGTCTGTGCACACAACACAAATGAAGCCCAAACTCCATTGACTTCATTGGAAAGCCAGATCCTGTGCCTGTTGATGGGTCATGACTTGGTGTGGCCACACATTCTCTGTGAGCTCAGTGTCCAGCTGGGAAGAAATTGGAAGGAAGACTGAGTGGTACCAGGTAGGTTGAGCAGATAGCATGTGTTCAGGTTTTATGATCTTCCATGGAGGGGGTTTTATAATGAATGTATCCAGTACTAATCCAACTGTGACTTACAATAAAAGACATTTGTAAATCTCGGGCGGTTTCTGTTTCTTGCATTGAACATTTCTCAGTTGTGTTGGTAATCATTATAAAAATAAAGTTTGTATAAGGCCCCATTCACACTGAGCGACATGAAAATCGCGCGATTTTAGATGAGCGATATTGAGCGTCTTGTCGTGCGACTTTTTCCTATTGGGCTGTATGCAATCAGCAGCAAAATCGCTTGAAAAAAGGGTCATGTAGGAGCTACAAGCGATATTGAGCGACGAGATGTGAACAGCTCCATTGAAATGGATTGGAGAAGCTACATAGAGCGATATCGCGTGGAAATATGAGCGATATCGCTGCAAAAATCGCTCAGTGTGAATGGGGCCTTAATCTTCACCTTTGTCTTATAGCAGGGGTGTGATCTTCAGTCTGCTGGCCCCCAATTGGACAGTGGCGGTGACAATCAAGGGTTAAGAGCTGTTAGCCCCTAGCTTTCATTGTGACCGTTGGGGGTGCATGGTCATTCTTGGGGGAGGGGGGTTGGTGCGTGGGGTTCTGGCGGTGGATGCACGTTACCAGGAGGGGGTTGGTGTTCTACCATTGGATGCTGGTTACCTCTGGGTCCGATGGCTCTGTGCGGCTTCCCACCCAGCTCACTGACGTCACTGGTTGCCAGGAGATGGGGTGGACACCAGCCACAGAAATCCGGTTCAGCTCCTGGCAACCAGTGACGTCTCAGGTTGCTAAGAGCTCTCAGCTGCCCCCCCCCCTTCCGTGACCTCCCGCTTGACCCAGTGAGATGCTGCCTAAGGCAACCATCTCATTACAGTATATATGTATATATATACACACACACACAATTTACTTTAACATAGTGACAGGGTGCAGCCGTACACCATATTAAAAGGTACAACTTATGCCCATAACACCAGCCAATGCATGGAGTCGCTGTGAGAATTGTATTAGAAGAATGGCGCTGACCTCAGCAGTGGCACCGCCTGTATTGCTATGTATCCCCCGGCTCACCTGTTACGCCGTGCTCCGGGTCCACCTCGTACCTCTGGCTCCGTGCTGTGTGTGCTGCTGTCCCCATAGCAACCGTTGGTCCCGCCTCTTTGTTGACAGCACGAGCTCGGTAGGCGGGGCTGAACTACAATTCCCGGCATCCGTCGCGGCCTAAGGAACACCTCGCCTGTCAGCTGCCTGTGGACCGGGTGTCAGCGCAGTTGTTTTTGTACAGACGTCACTGGCTGGGGGATTGGAGGTGACACCGAGCGAAGGACGGGATCCCGGCATATGTAAACACGAGGCCTGGGGGTCCCCAGGGCCTGTCTGCCTGACAGCGGTAAATAGCTGTGGTGGTATACGGGGGTGTAAGGGGGCTCTGTGGCGAGGGGGAGGTTCCCGGGCACTGTTATCTAATGCATGTCACCAAGTCATCTGACCACATAGAGTTCACCAACAGCTGTATCCCAGCCCCAATCTCCGGGTACAGGGACTCCTGAAAATGGTGGCAACATCCTGGCTTTTCACAGATTATCACACCTGTACTGAGCCATCGGCCGGGTGCCATTGCTGACCGCATTTTACTGACTGATTTAGTGGGTTGAACTCTTGAGTGGTGTGACTTCACTGGCTGCATGCTTGTTTATGCTGAGTGATGCAGAAAATAATGAAGGAGGTGACAGCCTGGCATCTAGCATCCTTAGAAGGAGATCAGACATGGAAGCTTACATAGTTCTCCCAGACAGTTTTCCTTTACATTTCTTGAAACTAGAGCAGACAGAATATAGGGCAGTTGCCAATAGTAACCAAATCAGCTTCTTTCATGTTTAAGCTTAAAGGATCATTACAGCCTCGTGTGTTTTGCGTGCTAGCAAGCAGTAGATACATGCAACAACAAAATGAACCAAATAGGTTTAAACTTACCTGTGTCTCCGCGTGCTGCCGTCTGAAGATTCTTGGGGAGCCTCAAAGGATTATGGGGCGGGCGCGTGCCCAGTTCAGATCTTCAGCTGGGAGAAGAGGAGAGACACAGGGTAAGTCAATGCAGGCAGCGTGCACCCGCACAGGCTCCGTGGGACACAAAAGACAGCAGTCAGCGCTGGATCAGAGACTGGCACCAGCGCTGGAAGGACCCCTGAAAACTACTGGAAAGAAGATGATGATCGGATCAAGAGGCATCATTTAAGGTAAGTCCTTAAAGCAGCATGGGGGGGGGGGGGGATTTGACTTTAATGTCACTTTTTAATTGAACAGCCTGAAGCTGGAAGCTAATTGGTTGCCAGTCTTTTCTGCATGTTGGATGGAGTTAAGATCATCCATAATAAACGATAAGTTCCGACTCTCACCTAAACCTTTCTTTAGTTTTGGACACAGTGGGGAGGGGATAGAACCTCTGTCAGGTTTTTTATTGTGTTTACCATCTGTGCTGGGGAGATTTCCCTTCACTTCCTGCAGACCTTGGAGGTGATGAGAAATCCCTCCACTGGGGGTGAGCTTGGGTTTTGAGTACGGTCATATTGGGCCAATGGCATCTATCCGGCTGGATCACCGGCTGAAAATAAAGGACAATAGCTTGAAAAAAGAAAACAAATCCAGCCGCTACATCTAAGGACTAGTAAGCTGCAATACATCATATTTTGTGTTTTTGGGGTTAGGCCCATTGTAAGGAGAGATGGATATCCCCCTGACCACCTTGTATTTACCTGCACAGGGCTCCCCTGCTACTTCTATGGCTGCCTCCACAACATACCTGGACTTCCTCCTTCCATGCAAAGGTAGGCCCATGCACTGTCAGATGACAGAAGAGGTGACAACATTCTCCTTCTAACCCAGGGGGAGCAACTCCCACCCTCCAGTTGTGCTTTAAATGCAAATCCCATCATGCCTCTGAGAGTCATGCCTGTAAACGTCAGTCTTGCAATGCCTCATGGGACTTGTAGTTTCACAATAGCTGGGGGTCCTCAGTTGCCCACCTCTGATACCAGCCAATACCGGATATTTTATGGCAGCTGCAACGGAGGTATGAGCAGCGGAGTAGCACTAGCCAGGTTAGTATAAGGTGGTCTGAGGTAAGCTTTTCTTGTCACTTTGCCCTAAATAGGCATGGCCGCAGGGTCTCTTTACAAAATACAACGGTATAGAGCAGGGGCAGGCAACCTTGGCACTTCAGCTGTCCCATGACACCTCTGGGAGTCATGCCTGTAAACGTCAGTCTTGCAATGCCTCATGGGACTTGTAGTTCCACAACAGCTGATGTGTCGAGGTTGCCCACCCCTGATATGGACTGTAGCTCACTTTAGTTAGGTCTGCGTTGCTTCATCAGCCAGCATTGTCTTGGGGAAGTTTGGTTGCACCAGCACAGCAGTAACTTGTCTCTAGAGACTCTAATGTTGCCTCCTGAGCTGTTGGGGAAGCACAGGTTCCTGCGTCTTGTTTTCTTAATGCTCAGCTCTGGCTTCCTGTGTGGTGACTTCATATCATGACCTTCAAGGTGCAGAATTGGTTCACTATTTCATCAGCTCTGTCAACAAGCATTTTAATGTATAAGGAGATCTATTTGAGCGGTGAGGACAGTGTTTTGTGTACAGACAAGGAGCAGTAGACAGTCCGGAGGCTTGTGAAGTCACTGGAAGGGATGCTGCTGGTTTCATGTTATTGCATCACTCCCAGACAGGAAAGAGTCAAGTTGATGAGAGGTCTGGTGATCTGCAGAGACGAGGCTCATCAGTATGGATATGATGCTCGGACATGTTCCTCTCCCTGGATGAGGATTTCAGTAGGAGGACGGCTGCACAGTTTTAGCCTCCAGTCATATAATTATAGACATTTAACACAAGTCTACATTGAGAAACCGGCTTGACTCATTCCTCCTGGAGGCTGGGGAATCTTGTGACTCTCGGATGACGTGTTTGTTCACTTCAGAGGTTCTTCTGCACATTTCTTCTAGGCATCCATTTTTTATTGCTACTACTTCAATATTATTATTTTTGAACGAATGCAAAACTAGATAAAACCCAAACTGAATGGCATTAAGGTCTCATTCACACCGAGCCGTCTTGTATCCCCTTTCCTTAACCACTTCCTGACCAGGTGTTTGGCCCCCCTTCCCGGCCACGCCATTTTTCAGTGTTCAGCACTGCGGTACTTTGACTGACGTCTATTCCGTCATGCAACGCTGTACTGAAATGAATTTTATACCATTTTTGGGGGACAGATAGAGCTTTCTTTTGGTGGTATTTATTCACCACTATTATTTTTTACTATATTTCGGGAAAATTCCTGAAAATTTTGAAAAAAAAGGTTTTTTTTTACATTATGTTAGGAAACATTTATTATTACCCAATTATTTTGGTAAAATATAAAAGACAGGGTCACGTCGGGTAAACAGACAGCAAACATGTCATGCTTAAAAATTGCGCGCACCCGTGAAATCGCAAAAAACTACCATACTCAAAATTGACCATAGGCAAAGCTTTGAAAGCTTTTACAGCTCATCAGTTTAGTGTTATCAGTGATTGATTGCCCTAGACTTATTGCTCTCACTGCGGCGTTGATGGCGATATGTAACATGTGCGGCGTAATGGGCGCAATCGTCACTTTCGCAGGCATGCACCCCTGACTCATGTTTGCATGTGTGTATGTATGGGTGGGAACTTTAAAAAACATTTTTGTTTTTTTAATTCTTTTTTATGTGCGACTTTAAATGTTTTGGGGTAAACTTACATTTTTTTTTTCCTATTTTTTTTTCCCACTTAACTTTATTGCTATCACAGAGGGGGCTGAGAAACCCCTCTATGTGACAGCAAAAGATGTGACAGGTCCTCTTTATGGAGACATCAGGGGTCTCCAAGACCCCTAATGTCACCTAGGACCCCCCAAAAGAAGCTGATGAAGCACAGATCTGCTCCATCAGCTTCTTTCCAGCTTCTGAAGCTGGAGAGTGACACAAGAATGCGGAAGTGATGTAACCCACCCCTGATATGGACTGTAGCTCACTTTAGTTAGGTCTGCGTTGCTTCATCAGCCAGCATTGTCTTGGGGAAGTTTGGTTGCACCAGCACAGCAGTAACTTGTCTCTAGAGACTCTAATGTTGCCTCCTGAGCTGTTGGGGAAGCACAGGTTCCTGCGTCTTGTTTTCTTAATGCTCAGCTCTGGCTTCCTGTGTGGTGACTTCATATCATGACCTTCAAGGTGCAGAATTGGTTCACTATTTCATCAGCTCTGTCAACAAGCATTTTAATGTATAAGGAGATCTATTTGAGCGGTGAGGACAGTGTTTTGTGTACAGACAAGGAGCAGTAGACAGTCCGGAGGCTTGTGAAGTCACTGGAAGGGATGCTGCTGGTTTCATGTTATTGCATCACTCCCAGACAGGAAAGAGTCAAGTTGATGAGAGGTCTGGTGATCTGCAGAGACGAGGCTCATCAGTATGGATATGATGCTCGGACATGTTCCTCTCCCTGGATGAGGATTTCAGTAGGAGGACGGCTGCACAGTTTTAGCCTCCAGTCATATAATTATAGACATTTAACACAAGTCTACATTGAGAAACCGGCTTGACTCATTCCTCCTGGAGGCTGGGGAATCTTGTGACTCTCGGATGACGTGTTTGTTCACTTCAGAGGTTCTTCTGCACATTTCTTCTAGGCATCCATTTTTTATTGCTACTACTTCAATATTATTATTTTTGAACGAATGCAAAACTACATAAAACCCAAACTGAATGGCATTAAGGTCTCATTCACACCGAGCAGTCTTGTATCCCCTTTCCTTAACCACTTCCTGACCAGGTGTTTGGCCCCCCTTCCCGGCCACGCCATTTTTCAGTGTTCAGCACTGCGGTACTTTGACTGACGTCTATTCCGTCATGCAACGCTGTACTGAAATGAATTTTATACCATTTTTGGGGGACAGATAGAGCTTTCTTTTGGTGGTATTTATTCACCACTATTATTTTTTACTATATTTCGGGAAAATTCCTGAAAATTTTGAAAAAAAAGGTTTTTTTTTACATTATGTTAGGAAACATTTATTATTACCCAATTATTTTGGTAAAATATAAAAGACAGGGTCACGTCGGGTAAACAGACAGCAAACATGTCATGCTTAAAAATTGCGCGCACCCGTGAAATCGCAAAAAACTACCATACTCAAAATTGACCATAGGCAAAGCTTTGAAAGCTTTTACAGCTCATCAGTTTAGTGTTATCAGTGATTGATTGCCCTAGACTTATTGCTCTCACTGCGGCGTTGATGGCGATATGTAACATGTGCGGCGTAATGGGCGCAATCGTCACTTTCGCAGGCATGCACCCCTGACTCATGTTTGCATGTGTGTA